AGAAAGAGGGTCTGGCTTGCTGAGTGTAGGGTCTTCCGGAGCGGAGCTGGGAGTGGGACGTGGGGAGGAGGCACCTTGCCGTGGTGTCAGCCCACGTTCAGGCTCTGGTTTGGTTTTGTAGCCAACGACTATAAACAGTGTGGCAACAGTGACTTGCGTTGTTGCCTTGAGCCTTTTGCAGCCCTTTGTGAGCCCCTTTGTAACCTCTGTGTACCCCGCTGCAGGAAAGGAGAATTTCCAAGCTGCAAAAAACCTTGTCTGAATACAGCCAATAGGTTGGAGCTGAAAGGTCAATATGAAGATGTGCTCAGAGAGCAGAGGGTGCTTGCACTGTGCTGTCTGTGCACGTACCCTGCTGTGGGAGGGAAATATTTCTGCTGCTATTCTTCCATTTCTGATACGCTTCTCTGATGGCCCTTGCTGGGACCTAGCTTTAAAGCCAGTGAAGCAATTTGTGTAAAGGTCCCTCCTGGAAGCACCTTGCTGGTGGGAGCTCCTCGAGCTGTGTGTATCGTGGTCATGGCTTGGAGTTGGCTATTTTGACCGTGATGCATCTCATGGTGCGTTGCTCTTGTGGGATTCACTCTGTGCTCCCATCTGAGCTTGCTGATCTAGTGTTGCTGTTTTTGAGGAAAGTGTGTCTCTTGCTTGTTGGTTAGAAGCCTGTGGTTGCTGGAGAAGCTTTCTCTGATTTTTCCAGAGCAAGCGGATGGTTGAAACTGCTCATGACTAAAGTTTTGTGACTTGGTTGGAGGCAGTGTTGTGGCGGGTTGTCATTTACATATAAAAACGTATACATACATATGCACTGTAAACGTATATTTCTGTCAGGTACTTGACAGACTGCCTTTGTGTTTTCATGCAGAATGAACTGAAAGAGTGCAAACCCCAAAGAGCCCATACTAAAGTATGTTAAATTCATAGCTCTCAGAATGAAGGATTGTTATTGGGGATATTATGTTAATGGACTAATAAGGGTCAGGTTTTGGTAGTATTACTCTGTTTTTGTCAATGACCTGAAGGATACAGTTAAAACTAATAAAGTGCACAAGCAGCTCAAAGAGTAGAGCAGAAAATAAGAGATGGGGATACAATACAGTAGTCTGGATAGTTTGGTTAGTTTGGCTGAAAAAAATCTATATTTTTGGTGTGGCTGATATGAGGCCTTGTATCAAGCCATAGAGAACGCCGACGATTCGGGAAAACATAGTCTGTTATAAGAATAGAGAAGCAAGGGAGGAGTAAGACCTGTCTTAGGAAGCAGTAACTTTTGCATGGAACTAGATTTGGTTCCAGAATGTGAGGAACACGAGCACCAGAGCAGGACTGTTGCCAGGCACGATAATGTGATCTTTAGATACTTAACTGTGACTGTGGAGACGTAAGAGAAGATATGTTACCTCTGCTTATGCACTGGTGCAAATGCTTCTGCCCTACTATACCCAGGTTTGGTGTATATGTGTTTTGTGAAGGCCAATGGATGTTCAGAGACAATCTATGAGGGTTAGGTTAACTGGATAAAAGGTGAGAAAAAGTTGTCATATGTATGTGCTGACTGAAAGATTAGAGGAGTGGAAAATAAGAGATGGGGATACAATACAGTGGCTTGGATAATTTGGTTAGTTTGGCTCAAACAATCTATATTTTTGGTGTGGCTGATATAAGGCCTTGAATCTAGTAATAGAGAATGCAGACTATGCAGGAAAAAAAAAAAAAAAATATATATATATATATATGCCATGTATTTAAGTGTGTATGTACACTCGTGCGTACACACACTGCAATGCCAAGTATTGCACTCGGGCTGGCAGCCAGGGAAGTCCGACGGTCTGCTCTGCTCAGGAGGGTGTTAGGTGGTCGTAATGTTTTTCAGGGCCTTCACTGGAGGGAGGCTATCTAAGTAAACAAGCTAAGGTAAAGACTGGGAAAAATATTTGAAGTTTCTGCTGATGTTTATTAGTTTCTAGGAATATCTGCTTTCCCCTTTCCTTTGCTGCAAGAACGCAGAAATGTGACTACTCTGGCAGTAAAAATTATTTAATTTTTTTTTTTTTCTGAAAGCCTGAACAAGGAAATTTCCTCAGTTGTGTCATTGCTATTATGTGACAATATCCTTCCAGTCCTTCTGTCCTGCTGAGGCTTCCTTAGTTAGCTGTCCAATCTGTCTTCAGCAATCTTTTTTTAGAAGAAAAAAAACTCCCAGATTCAAGAGAAACATTAGGACTAGATCTTACTATGATGTGGAGGCTTTGGAGGATGTTGCTGTGTCAGCTTTTATTGTTGTCCCCATCTGCCAAGATATTCACTGGCTTGCTTTTGTTTTTTGTTCATGTGGGGCTTTTCAAAGTGGCCCTTGTACCAGCTCTGGTAGAAGTGAATGGGATGATGTGTGCAGTGATGCTTTCCTGCATCTTGCTGAGCTTTGCTTGTGTGAAGGTTGGCACCAGACCTGGATGACTCTTGTCCACGTTACACGTGAGGATTCCTCATGTACCATTGTGAGTGGGGCTTCTTCCCACTTTTTAAGACGGAGCTACTTTCGCTTCTATTCTGTATCTCTAGCGGGTCTTTAGATGCTATTGTCGTCTGAGGGGGGATGGTGTGCTCGGTAATAGCCTGGTATTACCTGGAATTATTTTTGTCTGGGGAAAAGCTGAATGGGAGAAAACTACTAGCGCCGTATACTTGCACATCATGCTCAATTTTCCAGGATATGAATGTTTCCCAAGAAATTAATAACTACCAAGTAATTAGGAAAATTCGTACTTTTCTCCTCCATCTTCACTTGCCCACCCTCCAATGTAGGTTCATTCAGTAATCATTTTCTGTTTAAGTGATTCTGGCTTTTGATGCAGCCTGTTATCATGAGACTTTTGTATATCACTGTTTGCAGGAAAATGTCAACATTTGTAGAACTAGATTGGAGTCCTTTCTAGATGACGATGAATGGAAAAGAAAGCTGTTTAAAAAAAATTACTTTACTTTTTAGTAAATTAGCATGACAAATTAATCCCTGTTCATAATCTCTGGCTCCGTCTTCAGGAAGATGCCTGTGCTTGCACTAAGCAAGCAGGAATTCTATCCGTGCTCTTTGAATGCGCCCGACTCTGGTATAATTGATTCCCTTCTGTTCCTTCCTAGCAATCCTATGGAGACTGTACAGTTACGTACTCTCTCAACAGTCTGAAAGGATAGGATTTCCCTTAGGAGGGATCAGATGATTAGGCCTGAACCGGCATTTACTATTTATAAGCTACTTTAGAGTGCATGTTGTTTGGTTTCTGTCTTGCTCTCTGCACTGCTGCTCTGCCTTCACAACAAATATAACCTCATCTGGCACCTCGAGGTGCAGAGCCAAGCCCAAGAAAATAAGGTGTACTTTTCATCAAAGATAATGAATTTCAGTGAGCTTCAGAGCCTTTGAGAAAGGAAACAGTCCTGGTGCTCGTTGCTACTACACTGTGCTATGATTACACACCAAGGAGGTGCAAGATCCTTTGTCTGTGCAGGAAAATTAATGCGACTAACTGGGGATATGATTTCAAAATAAAACTGAAACGTGTTCAGTGGTTGAATTCCATTTCTAATGAGCTTCTTTTCCTGTCAGAAAACTTGTGCTAGTGCCAGGGAAGCCCTTCTCTTTAAACCTGAAAAAATAAGTTCTTGGAGTCCTTTGTGGAGCAACAGCCTCCTCCCATATCTTACCTGTATCTGTTTCTCTCCAGCTTGCTTCGTTTATCTCTGGTTTGGCCAGTCTTATTGCTGCCGTGAGGGATGTGATACACGGGGAGGTTTAGGGTCTGTTGAGATTCCTTGACTAACCTGTGTGTGAGTAATTTCCAGCACAGTTCCCTAAAAGGCAGCTTTTCCTGTGTATTTATAGTCGACCTTCCTTTGACTAATGTTTTAGCAAGGAACCTCCCTTTCTGCTCTTGGGTTTGCTTCTGAGCTAGAGGAACACCTTCCCCTTCCCCAGGGAGCTGTGCTTCACTGGGGATTGTGATCAACTCATAGGAAG